ATGTTTTTATTATTTTTATAATTATTGATTCTAAATTTTACTTATTAAATATATTTATTTCGTCACAAAAAAATTTTTTTAATACACTTCAGCCCCCCCAAAAATAAATTTCTGGTTCCGCCCCTGCTGATATCTGTGTCAATTTGGTCTTTGACATCTTATTCTGCACCGGTGAAATGAAAATACTTTCTGATGCATAATTTTGGTTCCTAAACCGTTTTGGTCTGCATCAATTACACATGAGCTTTTGACAAAGGAATGGAGCAAGTTTCAGGCCATTAGGAAACTAACTTGAAGGTTTTCTAAATGTCTAATCGCGTGCGTTCTTAAAATTGGAAAGCAAGGATCTCATGCTGTATTCTTTTTTTTCCTTTTCTGATCTTTTCTTTTCCAATGGTATATTTTGTGGCGTGTTTGTTTGCTTTGCAGTTTGTTGACGAGAAGGTACAGTGGATGCACATTGACATGGCTGGTCCTGTTTGGAATGAAAAGAAGAAGAGTGCAACAGGATTTGGCATATCAACTTTGGTCGAGTGGGTGCTCAAAAACTCTTCTTAGTAGCTATCTATCTGAGTTCTGTTTATCAGGAGAAAGTAAAGTACAAGGGGATAAGCTTATCTATAAAGAAAAGATAATACGTTGAGAGCTGAGAAGCGAGATATTTAATGGGCTTTTGCTTGATTTTGTTGAATCATCTGGATGTTGCTCAGTTTGCCGTTTGCCGTTTGCCCATAGCAGGCTCTCGTGTTCTTGTGAAATTTGAAATTTGTGTTATATGCAGTGTGAATTCTTCGGTGGAGTTTGCTTTGGTAGCTAAACTTTGTTGACAATAATGCAACAAAAGTACTTTTAAGTTTAAAAAAAAAAAAACTTTTGTTTGGATATGGTGTTTTTAGAGTTGCTTTTGTTTGTGTATTACTGTGGCATTGTAGATGAAAAAATTATTTTTCAAAAAATGCTGAATCCAAACAGAGTCAGGGTATTTTGAACGAATACCAGTATTTTTTTTTCCTAATATTGACATAAAATAACTGTAGTTTGTACAGCAAACTTTGTAACAAACACTCAAAAAACATACTATTCAAGTGAACCATAAATAATTTCATTCTTGAAAATTTTGAGAAATTTCATTGGTGATCAAAAGAAGCCTTCATTTCCGTTATGCTCTGAAAAAATGTAAAAGCGCCAAAAAGGCAGATCAGGGAATAGGTACTAGTAAAAAGAATTTATACAGCTACCATTCTTTTAAATTGAAAAAGGGGTCAAAAAGCATTTTGGTCGGGTACCCTCCAAAGATTTTCTCGCTATTCACTGGTAAGTTTCCCCCTTCTTTTTTTTTTTTTTTTTTTTTGACTGACGGAGTGAGTGTTCGGATCAATTCTTACGGAACCCGACTAATTTCACTCCAGCTCGGGAGGAGAGGCTCCATCCCCCCGAACACGATAATCACAGGATTCAGACCCTTACAGGCACTGGAGACCAGCTCCCATCCCATCAGGAGAGGTGGTGGCCACTGAGCTGCTTTAGCGGTTAGTTTTCCCCTTCTCTACTCAACCAATTAACAATGATAACTGTTCATTTACAACGACAAGTGAAGCTTTGCTTGTTAATCATGACAATAAGAAAAACCGCAGTTGATAATAAAATTAACAGATATTTAATAAATTTTGAAGTAAAACTAATTTGAGAAAATGTGGCAAATGGCTGTAAAGTAGGAATTAATTTCCATGAAGATTTCTCTTTTTTTTTTTTTCTGGTTGCTTCTAATGACTCTGCGAGTTTTTAAGCAAGGGAAAAGAGTACGGATACAATTATGGACTAAACAAAGGAAATATTGGACTTCATTTATATAACTATTTTAGCCTTTTGATTGCTAGTAATTGGTATCCATGTTACTTGGTTTTTTTCTCTTTTTTTCCCTTATTTTTAATGACATATTATAGTAATTAGAAAAAGAAATAAGAACAAGTACTACATCGAAATTTTTTTGTGGCCTGGTTAAGATATAGTCACAGACATGAACCCATAATTGTCCATGCAATTATGAAAAGTGAAAGTTAAATCATCTGCAACATCTATGCACTACCACTCCTTCTAATTGAACGACTAAACTAGCAGGTCATCCTGCAAAGAACATTTGCTTCCCGCTTGACTAATTGATCTTATGTTGTTAGAAGGTTCATTCCAACTAATTTTTGAAAAATTTCTTCACTAACAAAACCCAAGAAAGGCCCTTTCAAAGTTTTATATGAAAATGAAAAACCAATGGTGACAGCATTGCTTTCTCACGCCTCATGCTTATGTTTTAAAGTTTTTTATTAAGCTGTGATCACTTTGATTTTCTAACAATCAATTTGTCTAAGAATTATATAAGATGAATGTGTAATCTCTATTCAAACAGTTTTTGCAAAATATAGTATATTATTAAAAGTTACAACCACTAATTACTTAACATGAGTGCTGAATCCGCATGCATGTGAGTCAAGTATTCGTGTAGTTTTTCTTATAATTAGAGCACAATCTCTTAAAATTTCTCATAACTTGGAAATAGTTTATAAGAAATCATATTGCATAAGCGAAAGGATACATAGACAAATACACACTATGGAAACCCATAGTATTTAAATTAAATTAGTCAAAATATCATTCTATGCTAGCATTTAATATATAGACATGCCAAATATTGGAAAGGTAATAGATATTCTTTGAATAGAGTATCCACTGCTCAATAGACAGTCTATATATAATTTTTTAAACTTTAAAAGTGCACTGCTATTTAGAATAAATCTTATATACACTATCTATCATCGTTGGATTTATGACAAGTGTACAAAAATTGAATTTCAAATTCAAATTTTACATTGTTGTCATTCATCCAATGCTGATAGTGCATACACTGTTAGTGTAGGAAAGATTAATTTTACTATTTATTCTTTGGATTTAAAAGTAGGAGTAGCTCTCTAGAGTTGCAATATACTCCTTAGGTTAAAAAGTATGTGCAGTTCTTTGGATTTAACCGTAGGTACAAACGTTTGAACTCCTAATTTATAGTTGGGTTGCATTTTATACTTTGCATATTGGCTAACTAACCTCAGCAAATTGGTTGATAATTCCAGTACACTTTCCGACATTCCTGGAATTTCCTTGACGAGGGCCCGCTATTATGAACCCTTAAAGTCATTGGTCTGCTGTTAGTTCAACTTTTAGCCTTTTACCATATTCGGGGGAAAAAAAACTTTTAGCATCCTTTCTTCAGTACTCAAGAATGGCTTTTAGCTTCTTCAAGTTTTCTTGTCAATAATGCAAACTTTTGTCTTCTGACAAAGTCTTGCTGTTATCAGTTTTTTCAAGATAACTTGGCTGGATTTCATGGTATAATGATATCACACTCGATCTTGATTTTATAAATTTTTGTGATTGTTTTTCAAATTATCATGTTATATTTAGCTTTTTGAGGCCCAAAAATCTTGATCACTATTTTTTTCCCTTTTCTTTCAACACATATAGTGCTCTCTCCAAGCTCTTTACATGATTGACATTTTTTGGCAAGAATTTCAGATATTATTGTAGTTGCAAAATTTTTAGGGCAAATTCCACTTTACCCCCCTGTGGTTTAACGTTTTTTTACATAATCCTCCTATGGTTTCAAAAACTATACATAACCCCCTTATGGTTTGGATTAAAGTGTCAAAGTGACGGGAATGATCATTCGTAACGGAGTCACCTAAAATATCAAAAAATACTCTTATGTAAAGTTGAAAATTATTTATTAACCAAGGGGGGTTATGTGTATATTTTGAAAACCATAAGGGGGTTATATGGTAAAGTATTAAACCATAAGGGGGTTATAGAGTAAAATAAAAAAATCATACGAGGTTAATGTATCATGTATTTGTAAGGGTAATTTCGACATTTTTAGAAGTTCAGTTACGAGTGACTATTTCCGTCACTTTGACACTTTAATCCAAACCATGATGGGGTTATGTATAGCTTTTGAAATCATATGGGGGTTATGTAAAAAAATGCTAAACCACAAGGGGGTAAAATGTAATTTGCCCAAATTTTTATTATCAATTCTTTAAAGAAGATAAATGTTTGGACTAGCTTGGTAAGTTCTAGAGCTTACCATGATGTTATATTTTATTACCAATGATCACGAAGATCCCCTTCTCCCTAATTAATTGAGATGCAAGTACAAATCCCTAAAAGGAAAGAGAAAATTTTTTAGTTTAAAAAAGTCTTCAAGGGCAAAATGCAATAGAGTAATATTAATAGGAAAAATAGGGTAGTCAATTAGTAAAATTCGTTTGGCATATTAAGCAGATAATGGTCAAAAGCTTGAAACTCGAAAGTGCTTTTTTAGTGATATCTACTGTGCCTATATGTTTGTAAATTCATCGAGTAATAACAGGCTAGTAATAAAAGGATCTTATGATTTCTTAGATCTAAATAAAGGATTGTAATTGGCCTGATTTTGAATAAGCAACGTTATTGGTTGATAACTATACTTTTAGAGATTCTCTTGTCACTTGATAGGTAAGGGAGTTCGCTCGAAATTAGCAATGGAGGCACTTGGGAATTTGGTATTAGACAGAGGAGGTATGTCAATCTGGATGATAATCTAAGGTCACTCGAAACAAAGTTGCGAAGATTAGTCAGCAAAAAATCTGACCTCGAGTCGCAGGCATGGTTCGAAGTCTCGGCCGAGTCGTCACCGTCTCGGTCCCTACCGATACGATACCGTGACGAAACGATACCGAGATATTTGACTCGCCGAGAAATCGGCCGAGACGTCACCGCGACGGATTGACTTGGCCAAGTCACTCCGAGTTATCCCGAGTCAAGACGAGAAATTGGCCGAGTTACACCGTGACAGATTGACTCTGCCATTTCTTTTGCTATTTTTTATTATTTTTGTTTAGCATACTTTTTTATATTATTAATAATTTTTAGAATATTAAATATTTTAAAATTTACGTCTCACCGACACCGCGACCGATATGCCGAGACCGATATGGAACGTTTCAGACCGCGACCGTGACCACGACTTTGAACCATGGTCGCAGGTGACAGATGCAGAAAGATCAGGTACTGAGAAAAGGAGAAGGGAGGTTGAGATTTGGTTTGAGGAGGTAGTAACAGTAGAAAATGAATTCGGTGCATTGAAAAAGAGCATACAAGAGGGATTAATAGAAAATGCAACTAGCAGTGGGGATGGAGTGGCGAAAATGGATGCAACTGTAGAAGAACTTACTGAGCAAAGCAAGCATTTTGATGGGCTTTTGCTTGAGGCTTTTCAGAGCAGAGGTGAGCCACGAGTGGCAACAAAATTATTTGGAGAAAAGATTGACAGAGGTTTAAAGCAATCTGGGCATGGTTGGTCATTGATAGCATCTCAAGCATTGGGATTTACGGAATGGGAGGTGTGGGTAAGACTACATTGGCGAAACACATCCATAATCATCTCCTTGAGAGAACTCAATTCAAGGTTTATTGGATGATTGTCTCTCAAGAATTTAGCATCAAAAGGCTGCAAGATGACATTGCTAAACGCCTAAGTTTTGATCTGTCACACGAGGATGATGAGGATAGCAGGGCAGCCCGTTTGTCCAGGGAATTTGCGAAGCGGTCTGTCCTCATACTCGATGATTTTTGGCAAGAATTTTCTTTCGAAAAGATTGGAATTCCTCTTGGTGCAAACAAATGCAGAGTGATCTTGACTACTCGGTCAATAGAATTATGCAACAGGATTAGCTGTCAAAGGGTATTTGAAGCTAAAACTTTGGCTACGAATGAAGCTTGGGATTTGTTCAATCAAACACTTGACCCTAAGACAGTGCTTCATGGAGATGTGGAAGATATTGCCAAGTCCATTGTGGAAAGGTGTGCTGGTTTGCCTTTTGGTATTATCACAGTGGCTGGAAGCTTGAGAGGTGCGAGGGACATCTGTGAGTGGAGAAATGCATTGGAACAATTGAAAATGCTCAGTAGGGCACGATGAGATGGAACGAGATGTGTTTCCCATCATGGAATGGAGTTTCAATCGCTTGAATGAATGTCAAAGGAATTGCTTCTTGTATTGCTTTCTTTATCCGGAAGATTATACAATAAAAAGAAAGGAACTAATAGACCCCTTTATCTGGGCAAAAACTGATGGACAAACAGAACTCAAGGTCAAGGTTAGCAGCATTTGATCAGGGTCACACGATATTAAACAAACTGATAAAAGTTTGCTTGCTTGAAAAAACTACAGATTTCACAGGAGATGACCGTGTGAAGATGCATGATTTGGTCAGAGATATGGCATTAAGGATCACTAATGAAAACTCCAAACTAACGATGAGTGAAGATGTACCGCGGTTCTTGGTGAAAAGCATAGGCTGGCTAGATTTAAATATATTAACACTAGAACAACAAGAATGGACAGAAGACCTCCGTGTAGTTTCCTTTATATCAAGTCTGAGTGCAAAAATAGGAGTTCCACCATTCGGGTCACCAAATTGTCCTCATAAGCTTGCAACCTTGCTTCTTCGTCATTTTTCATTTGGGGAGGTTGTGCAGGCCTCATATCTGTGCCACCACTAGGAAAGCTCAAGCGACTGATGGAATTGGACCTATCCGGTACTGAGATTCAGGATTTGCCTCAAGATTTGGAGTCATTGGTCAACTTCAAAAGGCTTGACTTGGACCATTGTTGGTCTTTCAAACGAAAGGTAATACCAAAAGCAGTGTTTTGAAAACCGGACTGGACCGGCCCGTTCGACCAGTCGAACCGCGAACCGGCCATGGCACCGGTCCAGTTCCATGCTTAGATTGACTTTGCCAGAAAACCGGTCAAACCCGGTAAAAACCGTGAAACCCGTTGAACCGTATTGAACTGGTTTTCGAGTTTTCCCTCTTTTTTTTTTTTTTTTTTTTTTGGCAAAATGCTTCTATCAAGATTCAAACTCAAGACCTTTGCAATAGAAGACTAATGTAATAACCATTGCGCCATCACATCTTATTTGCTTTTTTTGATAATTTATTTATATAAAACAAACATCTATATTTCATTTTTCTATTTTTCTTACAAAATCTCATTCTCTCATGACTCTTTCTTTTTAATTTTCAACTCTCTCTTTCTCTCTCATCTTTTCTTTTGTCACTCCCTTTTTTAATCAAACCTCTTTAGTTTTAATTTATTGATGTTTTCTTCTATCTTTTAATTTTGTTTTTGTCCATTAAATTGAAAAAAGTTAAAAAAGAATTATTTTTCTTTAACCCAAATTATTTAATGCCACAACCACTCACTTTTATCTCATTTTTTGTTTCTTATCAAATTTGCATTTTTATTTTCAATTCTCTTGACTTCTTTCGAATTCCAAACTTTCTTTTTTAAATTACAATATTTAAATCTCAAATATGTAAATTAAAATTTAAGTTCACAACGTCAAATTCTCATAGACGTGAATTTTGTATAATTTCAAAATATTGTGATATTTTTGGGTTGGATTTGAGATTTTTTTGGTAGATATAATTAAAATTGAGATGAAATTTATTTGTTTTAACTTATAATTTAAAAAATTTATTTTTGAAAATCCAAATTATTCAAAAATAGTGAACTTTTCATCATATAAAGTTTTAAATTAATCCATTGCATGTCTTATTTTGTGCATATATATATATATATATATATATATATATTTATATAAATTATTTTTTAAAAAAATCATTGAACCGAGGTTGAATCGGTCCGATTGGTTGAATCTCGACCCTTTCACCTCATCGGTTCAATTGACGGTCCGGATTTTAAAACATTGACCAAAAGGGACATTTTCCAAATTGCATAGTCTTCAATGGGCAGCATTGCCACCCTATGGTACTATACAATTTAATGATCCAGAAGTATTGGATGTCTATGTTTTACTGACTCCTATAAGATCTCTTGGTGGCCAGAGCACTATTATCTTTATATCAATGATGACTTCTCATCTTTTGATGACTACCTTTCTTTTTTGCGATGAATTTGGGGATCGCAAGCGACTGTATTTCTATCAGTGTAACTTGGATAGTGTGTCGAACTATCCTATGCTACTGTTGCCAAGTGATATGAAGCGTCTAATACTCAAGAAATGTGTCGGGTAGATGCTTGTCAGATGTTTTTACGAATTTTACAAGTTTAAACAACTTGTCTTGTTTGGATACCTGGGATTTGGATGGAATAGACATCCTCTGGCAAATTTCCTCTCCTGCTTCACGTGATCAGCTGGTAGACTCATCTTCTTTTAGTCCACTAAGAAATCTGGATGAGCTAATACTCAGCAATTTGCCGGATCTAATGGGTTTCTTTTTTGGGGAATCAGAAGCATATTTGCTTCCACCTGGAACCTTTTCTTCCCTTACGCATTTGTGGATTTACCAATGTCACAACATGAAGCAACAATTCGCAGTGCAACTGCTAAAATCTTGAAAGTCTAAGAGAATTGTGAAGGATTGGAGGAGATAGCAGCAGATGACAATGGAGTAGGGCAAGGAGGAGGAGGAGGCATCCAATTGACTTCAAGTGAAGCCACCACCGCCACTGTCATCCTTCCAAAGTTATGGAAGTTGGATCCGAATAGGCTGCCACAAATGAACTACATTTGCAAGGCAGCCATGATCTGCGATTCAATTGAGGTAATTAGAATGTTTCATTGATTCAATTGAGGTAATTAGAATGTTTCATTGTCCAAAGGTAAAGAGGCTGCCTTTGTTTCTTCCCACCATCAATGGTACACCATCCCCTCCCCGTGCCCTTCGTCAAATCCGGGGAGATAAAGAATGGTGGGAATCGTTAGACTCATGGTTCGAAGACTCGGCCGAGACCGAGATGACTCGGCTTCGTCACCGTCTCGGCCTAGACCGAGACGATACCGCGACGAATTGAAACCGAGATACTCATCTCCCCGAGAAATCAGCCAAGACGTCACCACGACGGGTTGTCACGGTCGAGTCACACCGAGTCACCCCGAGTCAAGGTGAATTTAACAAAAAATATTTAGAAAAAAAAGGAAAAAAAGGATTAAAAAAGGGAAATTCGGGGACCTCTCTACCACCTATATCGAACCATGGCTAATACTGATGATCCTTCATACGGAGAAAGAAATGCGAGTGATGGACAAGTTAAAAAAGACTTCGTGGGGCCTTCTTTAGATTAATCATAGTGGTTCCCTATTCTATTTCCAGACATAATTGGGACAAGCTCATCCGAAACACCGGACATAATTGGGAGAAGCACGGGACCGCAGCTCAATTACATAGACCCTTGGAGTAAAAACTACAGTTAGATCCTAACACATGAGAAGGAGAAGTCAAAGGTTGAAATCATTCATTGGGAAATAGAAACAAATTTGCTACAGTACTATCACGTGAAAAGATGCATTTTCTTTTTCACCTTGAAGGTACTACCTTCACTTTACTTTGAAGGTACTACCTTGAATTTGCCACGTTAAACATACTACCTTCACTTTACTTTTCTTTTCTTAGTATTGTCTGATTCCTTAAGCTCTTTTGCTTTGTTTTCGAACTTTCAGGCGGACTTGGTTCTTATTTGTTAGCTCTAAATAAGAAGACATATGAATAGGCAGAAGTAAACACTGCGGGAAATCCTCCGGGCAGCTACAAGGGACCTGGGATTGGTTGGATGACCAGTTATCTCTGTGCAATTAGTTTCATTGATCTTTTTGTGTTGATTCCACTCAGAAAGGTACATGTTCACGAATGTATATGACATTTGTCTTTATTGTTGGTTTTATTCATTTTCCTATATCTTTTGTTCATCAGATTTGCTGCAATTTGTTAACTTTAACATCTTTTTTGGTCAAGTTTTTAAAATTTTAATGCCAACAAGTCCAGATTTGCAAGCAAGAAAAAAGAATCAATAAAATCGCAGAAGTTCCACATATAACTCTTAATCAGGTCATTATCTTTTTTTTTTTTTTTTGCCATTACAAACTATGGTATCTATATTGGCAGCTAGGAAGAGAATTACAGCCATCGCAACAGATAATAGCCAAGGGAGAGAGTGTAAGGTATATCGGTATGGAGAAGATGTCCAGATGAGAATCACAACCAGACAATAACCTTACCACTTTGGTGACAAACCATTTGGTGAATTAACTACATAATTGAACACTTCAATCAAGCGAATCATAAAGGTCCTTCCTACTGTCAATATCTTAAATTCTGCTATTATATTTGATCCCCGGAGACCAGAAGGCCATAAACAACGGATAGCTAAACAATGGAGACCAGAAGGCCATTATTAGAATATGGCATAAACAACCATTTGGCAAAGTACAAATTGGTATCATATTAGCTATTATTGATAGGGACAATGGATAGAGTTGTGTGGCTAAAAAAATATAATGATAACGCTATTTATTGTCATACCATCTTCATTGTTGGGCGGCATATATACATAACACAATCGAGAATTAAATGCTTTTTTTTATATTATTAACAGTTTTTAGAATATTAAATGCTTTAAAATTTGCATTTCACTGAGACCGCGACCGATATGCCGAAACCGATGTGGAACGTTCCGGACCGCGACTGCGACTTTGAACCATGGTTAGACTGGGACAATTCTTGCGCCAAAAATTCGATTGAGCAATATTTTAGGACAATATAGTGAAGTTGAGCTGGTTGTTGAAAACCACCTGTTTGATCAAAATCCTGACTGTTTTCTCCCCTTCCTCTAGTGTCACCAACCCGTGCCTTTGAAATTTCCCAATATATGACCTGCTGCTCCTCTAGCGTAGATTTGCTATCGTGTAGAAATCAATATTAACTATTCCAGAGTTGAATTCAAGCTTGCCTCTGCCGACTACCTTTCTTGAGGTGCAGAACTGCTGAAAACCTTTCCTTAAATTAATTCATGTAACTTATTACGTTCATTGTTCATTTTTTTTTTGCTATCTTTTCTGATTTCTGCGGATTTAAATACTTTATTTTCTCTTCAATGCTTCTATGGTGGAAAGT